ATAATAACCGTTTTAATTTTATTACTAGTATTATGAGTTGGTGCTACTATTTTAAACACCACACTAGTAGAATGCCCATTTTTTTTAAACTTCCAAAACTTTATTAATACTCCTTAAAAATGATATTTAGGAAAAGTAAACACAAAACGAATACAGTGCATATGCAAGCAGTGGATTGGACAAATTTTAGCATTTTAACAACTTCTCCAAAGATATTATTTCTTGTAACGCAAATTCTTGCTTTTCAAATTTTTCCAACCTAAAATATAACTTTACAATTAATTAAGGCTTTTAGTTGAGATGAAAAAAAGCTAATGGTACGAGAGGATTCGAACCCACGACCTTCGGCTAGATACGCCGCTGCTCTACCACCTGAACTATCAGGCTGAGATGGGGAGTTGATGTCCGAGTGGATCGAGGTCACGATAGCTCAGGTGGTAGAGCAGCGGCGTATCTAGCCGAAGGTCGTGGGTTCGAATCCCTCTCGTGCCATTAGCTTTTGTTAATCTCACCTAAAAACCTTAATTAATTGTAAAGTATTAATTGGTCAAGCAGACCACGAAATTAGTGAAACTAAAATATAACCCAAACATACGGCGTAAGTAATTTTAATATCGAACAAACAAAAGTTAACTTTAATACTAATAAATATGGCGTGATGTTTTAGCATAATTTTTGATATTTTATTATTCACTTAAATAGATTTTTGTATTTTAAACGTGCATTTATTTATTACCTATCTGAAATATTACTATTCAAAGAACTACTAACTTTGTAAGCACTAGTTATTCAGATATCGTGAGATGCGGTCGGGTGTGATGTAGGTTTCAGAAAAACATTTTCTTTATCGTGCCAACGTTTCGATCTTTTATTGAGATCATCTTCAGGGCCTGGGATTTACAAACAATGTTTACATTTAACAAATACATTTAGGATGTGGAAAAGTGGATTTATACAATGCAAAATACATTTTATATTCAAACAAAGTATTTCTACTCACTCAAAGTGTTTATCTTCTGTGTAATTGTGTCATCCTTGCGTGTCGTGTTGAGAGTGCCAGTGAGATTTTGCTGTTTTATGTTTATACATGTTTCGTTTTGAAGGGGTGGGGAAGGAAGTCGGTATATAAAAGACAATTTTGTGTAAGGCGTCGGCTTCTTTGAAGTGAAAAAAGCTGACAAAGGGGAACAATGTGTTGGTAATAGTTCGGCCAAATTATCCTTTCAGGATTATATAGAAAGGGGATAAATAGGAAAAGGAAAGCTAAATTGTTGGAAAATTAGACTATGTGAAAAGTATTTGATGTGTGGAATGTAATGTAATTTATGTTATCTATATTGTATTTGATTAATGATATGGCGTAGCTGCGACTGAGTTTGCATGTATCTGATCTGTAGTTGATGCTGTGTTTATCTCTGTTGATATAAACCATTTCTAAGAAATTACGTTTATATTTGTTTTGTTCTGTATGTAATATTTTTGGATTTTTGAAGTCAAAATTGTGTTGGTGTTCAAAGTGGTGGGTAGCAAGTGCTGTAGGATTTTGCTTGAGTTTTTTGCAATCATAGATATGTTGTGATATCTGAATAACTATCGATTAACGGTCACTAATCTCTACACATTTGTAAGCACTTATTATGCCACATTTGTTGAGAGTTTTGTTACAAAAAACATTACAGTATCGTATAATCTTTAGACGTTCATAATCTTAATGAAAAGGATTTACTGCTTGGTACGCAGCTTTCACTTTTTCTAGCAAAAATGTATTTGTTTAAAAATTCCTTGTTTAACCAAAAAAATACATCAATTACTTAATCAAACATATATATGACAAACGTAGTGGAGGATTGAATATTATACATTTATATAACAAGAAATTTAAGATGGGGAATTTCTTCAACACTTACCAGGTACTTCAAAAGAATTATGTATTTGTAGGTGTACTCCACTTTTTCAAACCAATTTTTTTTTAATTTATACTTTTATGTATAAAATTACCTTCAAAACGATATATAGGGTAAATATGGTGGAGGAACACGTAGAGACTTTTAGCATTACTGTAAACAACAAACCAGTTTCTTCAAAATTGATTATTATTTGAAACAGACAGTTATTTTCACTAAAAAACTATTACAGATTTACTGATGTTACGTTGATCCAGGGAAATAATTGATATGAAAGGAACTTCGCTGAGATTACGGATTTTAACAGCATAATTTTAACCATTAATCCCTGTTTGTGTCGGGTAATAATTGACCGTATTAATTAATCTTTTTATCGGCTGAAGGTCGTGGGTTCGAATCCCGCTCGTGACACTAATTTGTCATCTCAACTTAAACCGTAGATAAAATGAATAATTAATTGGAATAATTTTTAACGTTTCATTGCTTTTTTTAATATATAACCCTGTAACATCCGACGTCTTCACTGTCACTCAAAATATCACTTTGAAAAATTGTAAGTTTGTAAAAAAAAAAAAAAAAATGGGAGGTCTCAAATATTAGCTATTAAATGGAACATTTTATATATGTTTCAATTTACTAGTGTCTTCCCTAATTTTCGCAAGACCTACTCAACCTACAAAACAATTGAACCTTCTTTTTGTTAGCTTAACCTTTTCTTTCAAACATTGCAATAATTGGTTGGTCATTTTCTTAGAAGGTTTTCCAATGAAAACTTACATTTACATTTATAGATTTTTTAGGTTCATTCAATATTGGACTAACTGTTAATGTTTTTTTAAAATTAATCTTCTATCATTAATTCAACAATCATTAGGGATGAATTTATTTACCACCCGAATAAAAGAATAACCATGCCAAACTACAGATGATATTTCCGTCTTTAGTAGTAGCATATGATATAGTCCGTGTTTGCTGTTAGTGCAGCAGTACCTTTTTACCGACGTTCGTTCGGTTGGAATAAAAGTATAACGAAGTAATCGAAAATTCGATAAATGACACGAATCGATGCTTTTGATAATGTGCTGTTTTATCGACACAATTTTTTTTTTTTTAATATATAACCCTGTAACATCCGACGTCCTCCAAATTTTCAACGAAAAGAACATGAATCTAAACCAAAAATCTGTGCCTATTCTTCACAGTTTAGTCGTCTAAAACAGTAAGGATACCATGTCCTAGTACGAGGCATTTGGATTAGAAAATATTATCTCATTATTGGAAATGTAAAAAAGTCAAGTAAGTCAATACTTACGTAACTAAGTATAAAAACAAAAACAAATCATGTTTGATCGTTGAAACAGTTCAGTGAAATTTTATGGCAGTACATTAAAATCGATAAAACTCCGAAAAAAATGAACCCAATAATTAAGCTTTAAAAAATATCATGTTTTTATACCAACGAAAATAATTTCTATACATTGAAGAACGAGGTTTAGCGGAAGTTTTGCTTGATTCTCCAAAAGAAAAGAATTTATTGGCCAGAAATATTTCCTAAGCGAAAGAAGACACCTCTGATATATTGAGCAACCCTCTCGAGGAAACGGATTTCTAAAAGGCAAATTCAATAAAACAAGTTGATTTGACATTCTTTCTACCAGCTAAAAAAATGTGTAAAGTATATACCCATTTATTTCGTGGCCCGATTGACCGAATAAGTTCTTTCAATTAATTAATCTTTATGTAAAGTATTGGTTGAAATGAAAAAGTTAGTGTCACGAGCGAGATTCGAACCCACGACCTTTGGCTCCATACGCCGCTGCTCTGATCACTAGCTATCGTGACAACTATTATAATATAACCTCAAAGACAACTACTGGAAACTTGTATCTTGTTGTCTATTTCAAAGTATAAGTATTTATGTTTATCGTTATATTAAATTACAGAATAGTTATTTTAATATGTTATAAAGGCAAAACCAGATAATAAATTTTTACTTAAATTTATTCTAATACTAATTGATTTTCCTGTGTTTTGATGAATTTTATTTTAAAATTAAAAATAAAAATTTTTAAATTATAAAAAAATTAAAATAATTTTTTTTTTAAATTTTAAAATTTAAATTTTAATATGTTATAAAGGCAAAACCAGATAATAAATTTTTACTTAAATTTATTCTAATACTAATTGATTTTCCGGTGTTTTGATCAATTTTTTAAACTATAACAATTAAATAATTTTTATTAAAAGTTATGAATATCTGATCGCATTTAATTGGTTTTAAATGAAAATAATTCTTTTGTAATTGACGTAACGATAAAAGCGCATATGGTTTGAAATAAACAATAAAATATGAGTGACCGATTTTTTTGTCTTTGAGTAAATTTAGTTATGAAAGTAATAAGTGAATCAATTAATGCTGATTTTAAAATTGTTGATTAAAAAAAAGAAAAAAAAGCTGGATCTTATCAGATGAATAAGGGCTTAGTGTACAGGGGTTCGCTTTTAGCCGTGGTTTCCAAACATACTTGTACCCCTATTCAACATCCTCCCCCTTGGAGAATGTTAATCACGTGACAAGTAAGCAGGTAATGCCCCCGCCGTGTCTCGTGTTGTTTGAAATATGCGAATTGTTTAGCCCTTGCCTCGGTGAACTTAGAATACCATTATCCAGTCTTGCCTAGTCAATTATTACAGGGGAGATAATAATGGAAATTGAGATCCTGGTCCATTGAAACTTGAGTCGTGACATCGCTGCTAAACATAAATAAAACAACCGAAATAAAAGGGTTCCATGATACTTTTACCAAGTTTGCATTTTGATCGCGTCTTCCAAAATTGTACATTTTGGAACGTACAAAATGAATAAAATCTTTACATAATAACCCATTAATAAAAATAAAGCAATAAATTCAAATATTGACAATTGAACAAATATTAGATAATAGGTTCAGATTTATTTTTTGCACTGAAGCCATCAGGCAAATTTGTTTATATTTTATGACTCGTTTTATCGCTATGCCGCTAATTATGAAAATCTTAGAAGAGGAAAGCTAACATCGGGTTTCTCTTATCATAAATTGCGAAAAAATAACCTACCTTGAACTTCGAGCGACATTTACCAAGACGGATCTGAAACAAAAAAGATGAAATTAACCACTTCGAGTATAACAGAAATGCCTTTAATTAGTTATTTCAATTTGTGATGATTATCCCTGTCGAATTACAGTTTTCTTTTGCTGATTAATTAGCTTTGTGTTTCAAAAATAAAAAATATAATAAGAAAACAGTTAAATAATTATAGATACAATATGAAAAGAATTCAAATATATATTAGTGATCACGACTTTGTTTCCTTGGCAATCAAAAATCAGTGTGATTGCCCAAGAGACAAATTTTAAACAAACAACAATACCAAAATTAATAAATAAATGAATAGGCAAATAAAAACTCAAACATACACACGCACACATTATATACAAAATAAAACTGCACATAGCTCTTTTTTTGCGCTAACTGCTAGGTTATATCGGTTCGGGATGCCCCTCGCTACTCATTCTCTCTCTCATTCTCACTCATACTCTCTCTTTCTCACTCTCTCTCTCTCTCTCTCTCTCTCTCTCTCTCTCTCTTCCTATGTCCTTACTATTTCCTTCTTTTTTCTTGCTGTATTTCTTTACAATACTATTGAAGTATAGTAATTCAGTACTGTTCAACCTGACGTATTATAGCATATATTTATCCTTACAATGTCATAAAGATTGTCTAGTACTACGATTTCGCTTCAAAAAGGAGAGTAACGTTTGTCACGGTTTTATTGCCTTCATGACAAAAAGGAGAAAAATAGACAGAATTTGCTACACGGGGCTAACAAAAGGTTAAAAGTGACTGATAGGAACAACATTAATGAACCGAGAAGTTTGTTGGTAAACGGGAATAAAATAATATTGATATGATTCATCCCCATTGTCTCTCTTTAAACATATATTAACATAAACAAAACATGGGTTACGATCAGAAACGCAAAAATATCGAGATTCAAAACTGTTGCGATATTCACGCTGAACCGGGATTGGGTCCGTCTTCTCTCGCGGATTTTTTGAACTACTCAAAAGCGTTTTGGCATCGCGCCATATACAGTGAGGAACTGTTCTCATTTCCTTTAAGTCTGTCATATTTATATGACATTATATTTGTTCTATACTTGTATACAACATTTATATGCCCTAATAGTGAAATATTTTTATCTCACATTATTTTACTTTGTGTGACATGCACATAGAGACGCAATCATCTTTCTCTTCCACTCACTCTCTCTCTCTCTTTCTCTCTCTTTTTATCTCCATTCTTTCACTCTTTCTCTCTCCCTCTCTGACTCACGCTTTTTTTCTACCTCATTCATTCTCTCTTTCCCTTATTCTCTATTGTAATTCAGTCTTTCATTTCTTCTCCCTCAATCTCTCTTATTCCAACTTTCTCTTTTCCTCTAGATCTAATTCATCTTTCTTTCTCTTTTAGGAATAAGAATTTCCCCTCTACTGTATCAAATCGAGCGGACTTCCTACATGTGTATTAATTTTATCTTAATACACATATAATAAATACTTAATAAATCTCCTATCTGCAGTTGTAAGTTTTGCTAGCTACCATAGGCAACTGCAATTGCTACGATATCTTTTACGAGCGAGATTCGAACCCACGACCTTTGGCTCCATACGCCGCTGCTCTACCACCTGAACTATCAGGCTGAGATGGGGAGTTGATGTCCGAGTGGATCGAGGTCACGATAGCTCAGGTGGTAGAGCAGCGGCGTATCNGTTCTTTTTTAGATAGCACAATTGAATTTCTCTTGACTCAATGACGCTGTCAAAAAGTACGTGTATAATATGTTTGGTTTAAAAATTCTATCTTTTTTTGGAGACAAATTGTACGGGATACCAAAGGCCCAGTTCAGTTTTTTTTAACTTTTTGCCATAACGTTAGGTGGACGAACTTCAAACTTCTCCTACATCAATTATGGCTAGTTCACTGGAAATTCCAGCAATTGTTGGAACAAGTAATTCAACCAAGAAAGTCGAACCAGATGATTCTATCATTTTAGATGCTATCAATAAAAATATTTATCAAAAGCCATTTGATAGCAAAATTGACAAGCTTAAACAAATTAAAGAAGAATATTTACATGAGAAAAACAAGCTAGTTAAGCTTAAAAGATTTGCCAGCTATTACTTTAGATCGGTGGTGCCCAAAGTGGTCCCTACGGACCCCCATGGGTCCCTGGTGTCATTCAGTGGGTCCGTGTAAAATGAAAAAATGATTTGGGGGTCTCTGAACAACGCCGTGGGGGGGCCCTCGCAAGGTTTAATATAAAATAATATAATATAAACCAGAAGTACGTTGATTATCTAAAAGTGCATGTTTAAATCGATTTTAAGCGATCTTTGATTCAGTGTTCGAATTCCTGGAACCAAAGACAATTATTTGCGACACAATTTAATTAACTCAAAAAATGACATAGTCTATATGTCTGATTTATTTGACAAATTTAAGGAAACTCATTTGAAACTACAAGGTGACCAATTAAATTTAATCAAAACTAAAAGCGTAATATCTGCGTTCGTTGCAAAACCTCTTTTTTCCAACCAAAACTTGGGAAGAGGAGAATGCTCTCAGTTTCCAAATCTTTCGAAATTGCAAATTAGAGATGAAGATTTGCTTGCTTCCTGTCAACACTTAACGGCCCTTCACACATAATTGAGCTAAAGATTTGAAGACATTCTTCACTTGGATATTCCCGACTGGGTGTTGTACCTTTTTGCGCGTGGACAAACCCAAATCCCAAACACAGATGAATCCATACTAATACAGGAGCAGCTTATTGAAATATCCACAAATGAAAAACTTAAACCAATGTTTGAACAAAAATACTAGAAATTCTGGTTACAAAAACAGATCCCAATTTTATATCCTTCATTATGAGTTATTGTACACAAGTTGTTGACTGCTTTCCCGGTTTACTATTTGGTAGAACGTGGATTCAGTGCCGTTATGAACCTCATCACAAAAGAAAGAAACCGATTAGAAATTATACACTCAAACATCTCATCACGTTCATCCAAGTCATTAATTTTTTTATTTTACTTTAAATAAAAGTAATTAATATTATAATTTATGTATAGTTATAATTTCAAAAATACTTCTTCAACAAAACTTTTTTTTATTTTTTGTTTTTATATTTATGTGGCTTTTTCACTTGGGGGTCCATGGGTCAAAAATATTTGGGAACCACTACTTCAGATGGTCATCAAGTTGTAGTCTGTGAAAATATTAAACTTAATAGATTAAATATTCAAATAATTTGTTGAAGTCGTGAGGGACGGTCAAGAATGAGGTAGTTTAGAAAATAATAAATATTAAAGTTTTTTGGCACTCTAAATACTACACACAATAATGACATATCTACACAGAAAACAAACACTTTGAGCCCTGAAGGTGATCTCAACAAAGATCGAAACTTTGGCACGATGAAGAAAATGTTTTTCTAAAACCTACGTCACACCAGACCACATCTCACTATCTCCAAATAATAATTTCTAAAATTACAATTCTTACCAAATTTGAGATAATATACACTTTTTCTACTATCAAAATCAATCTATTATATACTACTGGTAAGTTTTATGGGGAAAATATTGATGATATATAACTAACTGAAAGATTTGTGAAACATTGTTTTTTTGAAATCTAAATAAAAACATAACGGTATGTTTCGTCATAAAAAAATCAAAGTGTAAATATATGCAAAAGTTCTGTAGATTCCGATTGGTTAAAGCTCCTGTAAACACCAAATCATAAATCATTCACTGTAAAAGCAAGGTTAAACGTCTAACGGGGACGTAGTACCAATCCTTTGCTTTCCCTTAAAATATTTGAGCTGTCTTTTTTCTGTATGATTATGTTTTCCGAATTATTTCGTTTCCTGTAAAATATTACATACATAAAATTTTTTCAACCGTCTACTCTGACACAAATCAAAGTGAACAATTATAAAATACATTAAAATAGAAAATATGTTAGATCTTTATGCGTGTTTTCATATTTTTACTAACCAAATAGGTGTTATAAATTGCTGTAAAATATGCTAATTTTAAGTAATTAATCTTTATGTAAGGTATTGCTTGAGATAAAAAATCAGTGTTACGAGCAGGATTCGAACCCACGACCTTTGGTTAAATGCGCCGCTCTGCCACTTAAGCTACCGTGACTTCGGACACCGAATTCCCATCTCAACCCACCTTTCGATTTTTCCCTCGGTTTCTCACGATTAAAGTTTTATGTGTAGAGTCTAGAAATACGTTAAATTAAAACCCCTCACTAAATTTCATATCTTTATCTTTATCTATTTACACGCTTTTGTACATAAATGGATTACTATTTTTGAAATTTAATTTATATTAATCCCGTTCGTGACACTAACTTTTTTACTTCAACTAATACCTTATATAAAGATAAATTAGTTGAAAGAAGTTATTTCGTCAATCGGAGCACGAAATATACAACGGAGTTAGTAAGTAAAACGAAGTTTATCTTCTCTAAAGCTCTCCGTGGCTATTTCATTTGTAGCCGAGAATCGAATCCTCATTACACGACATTTGAAAAATGGCAAAAAGGTGGGAAAATTCGAAAAGTAGGTTGAGATGGGAAGTTGGTGTTAGAGTGGATCGAAGTCACGATAGCTCAAATGATTAGAACAGGGGCGTATTGAGCCGAAGGTCGTGGGTTCGAATCCCGCTCGTGACACTAACTTTTTCATATCAACCAATACCTTACATAAAGATCAATTAATTGAAAGAAGTTATTTGGTTAATCGGACGACGAAATATATTGTGGATTTAATTTATAATTAAACGAAAAAATCTTCATTTTTTTATTAGTTAAAAGTGCAGATTCTTGTGACATTTTCCTTATGTACGGTACAAATACACAGAGAAACTCAAGTCTGACGTCAAATGGAACATAAACCTTCATCATCTTAGCATCAGCCCCTCTCGTAATTTTTAAAATGTAAATTTTTAACGGATTCAAGGCGACGGCGCTGCGTAGGAGTCGGGATTTTTAGTGAGAAGGCCGCG